CATGGATGAGTTGGACTGAAGGGTCTGTGCTGTGTATCTCTATGATTCTATGACTCTAAGTTTAACAACATCTTTCCTGATTGAATTGAACACTGTATTTCAAAAGTGGCCTAAGCAAAGTCCTGTGCAGCTGTAAAATGACACCCGAATGCCTGTACTCAGTGCACTGACCAATAAAGGTAAGCATAGCAAATGCCTTCTTCACTATCCTGTCTACCTGCAACTCCACTTTCAAGGAACTATGTTCTTGCACCCCTAGGTCCCTTTGTTCAGCAATACTCCTCAGGACCTTACCATTAAGTGTTTAAGTCCTACCTGATTTGCCTTTCCAAAATGCAGCAACTCACATTTATCTAAATTAAACTCCATCTGCCACTTCTCAGCCCATTTGCCCATCTGATCAAGGCCTCAATGTATTCTGAGATAACCTTCTTCACTGTCCACTACACCACCAATTTGGGTGTCAACTGAAAACTTACTAACTATACCTCCTATATTCACATCCAAATCATTTATATAAATGACAAAAAGCAATGGACCCAGCACCGATCCTTGTGACACACCACAGGTCACAGGCCTCCAGTCTGAAAAACAACCCTCCACCACCACCCTTTGTCTCCTACCTTCAAGCCAGATTCTTGGAGTTGCACTATTAGCATTAATCACATGGCTATCTGATTCCAGTTCCTTTGCAATGTCTAACTGAACAATTTCTTGGACCGCAGTTGTGAGAAGGCTTCTTTCCTCGTCACCTTTTAAAATGAAGCATCCAGTGTCTCATCTATGCTCTCTCCCCTAGTTGCACAACAGTTGTGTTTCTTGCAGGTGCAAAGGTTTCCCCAGCTACTGTCAGCACCTGATGCAACCAGAAAAAGGTACTACCTGGTTTTATTTATTCAAGTTAGCTGAAATGAGCAACAAACATATGAATATTTAGCTTCGGCTGAGACAGACTGCCAGGAAATAGTTTAGTATCGGATCACATGCTGCTGGCTGCAATCACTCAACTGAGTAGGCAGCAAAGGATTTAAGTGCAGCCAAATCAGAAGGAACGGGGTTAGGCTAATTAGATATCATTGTCGTTGTGCTTTTGTTTCAGGGGCTACTCAATTTTCATGTTCACCTCCCACACTAGGTAAGACTATATCTTACACAGAGCCTAATTATTTTTTATATGAAACCTCAGTTATCTTTCAATTTAAAACCTTGCTGTGTTATGCAGATTTTTGAGTTCAGCACTTTGGTTGACATTGTTACCTGATGTTACAATTCAATACACTATCTTCCACTGCAACAACAAAAAATGTTAGAAGCTAAAGCAAGTATCTCGTCATGAATTTTGGTTCTTCCTGACCATGTGTAGCACTCATGAGAAAACAGAGCACAGTTCTGTTGATCTTACAGATATCAATAAAGACAATGAAATAATTCCATCAAGGCTGGTATCCCCTCACCAAGTCACCCTTTATTTAGATGTGCATTGTATATGACACTGACCCAGCTAGCTCAGAGCCGGTTCCTAGAGTGAGCAGAACCCGTTACACTCCCGCTTATATCTGTCAGCCTGGACTCCCTGATTGAATCAGGTTAACAGCCCCAATCAAGGAACTCATATTCTATGAGGCCTACCTGGCTGATCTTGTTCCAATCACTACAGATAACACTTGCAACGATCGGAAGTGTGATGGGCTGAAATCACACACACAGTAATAATCACAATGCTCTCTAAAGATTCATGGGATCCATCATTTGATGACTCCTTGTGTATTTTATGTAAACTGACCTATGAAATAGTTTATCAAATGCAATTGCAGCAGGTAACGACTTGCTAACAAATGTCTTTGATATCACTTACCAGATAAGTCACTTCATCAGCATCTTGCAAATTGTTCTAAGGATACCTGGGAATCAAATGAACCAGTCATTCACTTGAGAATTGGTCACTACCCATGCCATTTATGCGAAGATTTAAAGATTAAATGGATTCTATTGAATTGTTCTGCGATTCTGCGGTTATGAAATAGATGCAGTTAACAATGAAATCTTTTCCAATCTTAATGTTTATTCAATAATAAAAGGAAACTGCTGCTAATTATTAACACATATGAAAGGGATTAAAATCTTCTGAAATATATTTTCCTATATAATAACATTATTAGTAAATGCAAGCTACATAATAAATGTGATCAATGATCAAGAGATTTTTTAAAATAAATTGTTATGAAAGCTGTCCAAATAAGAAGAATCAACATTGCATCCCAACCAACTAATTTTATTTCATTCAATTTCTTTACAAGCATTTTTACAATTTTTTTTCCTGGCCTTTAACCTCCATGGAACAAAAGTGGAAATGGTAGAACAACTTACAAGTAAATTATCCTTACAGCTATTGTCAGTCTTCTAATATTGAAATGATCAATCTTCATTAGATTTTTGGAGGGCATGCTGTTGTGAAGAAAAATGTGTAGTTTACAATATTTCTCTTGTCTGGCTGAGCACGATCAGCTCTACAGCTGCATAAAATTTAAAAATGCAAGAGCTTTGTCTCTCACAACTAATCTTGACAACTTTTAAGTAACAATACACTGAATGTTGAAGGTATGTCACAACATTATTAGCATGTAATGTGGAGACTGATGTCATCCTTTCACTGGGTTGATTTTTATGCTAAACTGCTGTCATGTCTGAAGGTGGAGGGCTAAAAATAGAGCAGTGATTTTCTCACATGTACATGCACATGCATTGCCTTTCACCCTGACCCGTATGAACTGTAACAGAGAGGGAAGCAGCAATCATGCTTATCGTCATTAATTAGCCACTTACTCTCATTGTGCCCTATCATTATTCTAACCTGCAGCAGCAGAAGGCTCATTCCAACGAGGTAGATCTGGAGCTTTTACCATGTAGTCAGGCAAGCCTCCCTGTGAACCAATGGCCATGCTCGCATTTCCAACTTAACGCCTACCCTTGTCCTCTTAAACCAGACTCCCACCCCTTCACCTTCTCACCGAACCCTAACAAAGTCCCCTCCACTTCTCTTAGCATCCAGCTCTAGCGACAATCTTAATTAGGAGCATCCTATATTTCCAGCAGTGGTCACCGCTCGCAAGTGGCATTCCTGGGACTACAGAGCTGTCAGTCATCATTAGTTGGAGGCTCTCTGAGGGAGGATTTCTTCAAAGTTCTGCCTCAAACCATCACAGCCAAATATCTGTTAAATGACAGAGGGGCAGATGTTCTTCCTGTAGTGAGATCTCCCTTAATTTTTTACTTAGTAGCAGGGACCATGGCATCTCATAAAATCTGACTCATTGTTTTAAAGTTGTGGTGAAATTTATGTGATTGTGTGGGAAAGAATGCTTATCCTATGTGTAAACAATAGTTTCAACACATATTCAATATTTTTGTCAACTCATCTTGTGATGCAGAATTCCTCAGTTTTTCTTGAGCCTGCTGTACTCATGCTTCATTAATGTATTGCTCAGTTCAATTGTCTCATAGTTGTGGAACAGCTAACACCAGTTGGATCAGACTTTAGCACTATCTTTAATACTGATTAATTATCAGATCAGGTTGCAATCTGCAGGTTGGTGTCTAATGTACATGAAAATTTGCTGGATGATATTTTAGTTTGACTTGTACATTATCTTCAAAAGCAAAGAACTGAGAAGAAAAATAAATGGACAGTCTTTCATTTTCCTTCCCGCAGAGCTGCAGTGCTCCATGTCACAAAACATTAAACACAAAATAATAAAAAGCAAAATAAAATTCTACAACAGTCAGTTCTTGCGTTGTTATAGCCATCTAGCAATGAAGACATCAAGAACATTTCAAACATTTTAGCTGGTAACATTTTGTGATTGACAGTTTTATTCAATCACTCTACTCATTGTAAGTAATTAAAAAGACTACCATAGCTCTCTTAAAAAGACTTTCATTCCTTTCTAAGTCTCGTAGACAAAGCAGAATCACAATAAATGCAATCAAGGACTACAGTAAAACAGAATATATATGCTGAAGAAAATAGCTTATTTTGTCATGTTGGTGATTGAAACAGCACAATCTTTCGAGTTCCTTTCAGTAAAGCTCTCAGAGTGAACGGGGTAATTTTGATTCATTACCTTATCGCTGTAGCTTTGTCAACTGTATTTTTGTGACTGTGATTAAACAAAATTTATATGAAGTCGCAGTTACTTTAAAATCATCATTTATTATTTGAAAACTGTAACTGAATGAAATTGAAAGAATTAATTTTCTTTGCAAAGAGCTGCAATAAACTGGAAGGCCTGCCAGTACCCTAATGCTTAAGACAAGAATGGTGGGGCTACTGCTGCTAGATACATAGTGAGAACAGATTACCAGGTTAGAATGTAATGTGATGTGATACTCAATTTCCCTTAGTCCCTGTAACATATACCCCACAGGGTTCCTATGGAAAGAAATACCTGCAAGTTTATTAACAACCAATTATGTTCATTAAAAGGACATGTCAGGTTTGCATGTCATCTGAGTTCTATGCTTACTTTAGTTACAATATCATATATATACATAAAACTGACTGGCTTACTAACTGTACAGAGAGAAAGATGGGGACACCATGGTGGCTCAGTGGTTAGCACTGCTGCCTCACAGCGCTAGGGACCCGGGTTCAATTCCATGGATTAGCTAAGCTAACTTGCCCAAGGTATGCAGGTTAGGTGGATTAGCCATGTTAAAATATAGCTTTACAGGGATGGTGAGGGTCTGGTTGGGATGCTCTTTGGAAGATCAGTGTGGACTCGATGGGCTGAATGGCCTGCTTCCACACTGTAGGGATTCTATGATATCAGGGACCTTTTATGCTAGCGCATCACATATTGAGATGTCATCTAGCTATCTTTAAGATATAGTGTCTTTCTGATATTTGTGCAATAATACAATAGAATGCATGAAGAGGAAATGATATGATGAAGTTAGCAGGTTATAAACAGACATAGGGCAGAATTTTCCCTTACCTGAAGACGGTGAGAAGTTGAAATAATGGGGCACATTGAGCCTGGATAAAAGTTCACATCTTTTCTGTCACCTCAGTAGTTAGGTGCTGGACTAGAAGGTCCATTGGATACTTCTTTGACCTGCCAGCAAAAAAGTCTTTAAATGGTTAATTAATGGCCACCTAATGGCCTCAATTGGTCATCATCCTGATCACCCACTTCCCTGGTGGCTAGGAAATATTAGCTAGTTTCCCTACAGGGAAGCCATGTCGACCTATCTGCAGGACTACAGAAGGTTTCTATTTGCCCCACAGTGGGGGCAATCAAATCATAAATTGGGGACAACAGAGTGACCTTTGAAAGCTATCCCCTTGCCCTTGCCTATGGTCTCTGATTTCCCTTTGTCTGTGTCCAACATCCCAAGACAAGAAGCTAAAAATGATTTAGCTTCTCATCACTGAATTCTCCAAGGAGTAGGAATCAGCTGGTAGATTAAGACCTAGAACCTGCAAGTTTCTGAATGGCCAGCAGATTCTGTGACCACCTCCAAAGTCACCAGGGTTGAGATCTGTGATTGGGTGAGATCCTTACCTTTCAGCCCTTAATGAGCTGATTGATTGAAGATCAGGAGAGTTTTGTTGGTCATGGAGCACCTGACATCCTCACCCCACACATTTTTTTTTAAATAGGAAAATTCCCCCCAGAATGTTTGATTGTGTTGTAATGTTTTTTGATGTTTAAATCATCACTAGCAGGATCTTAGTTATAGTGTGCAGTTGTAAACCATCGGTAGTTAACTAATAACATGTAACACCGCTGTCTTTAAATATCTTTGCTTTTTTTTAATGTGCAACCTTTAATTTATATTAGCTGCACCACTGAAAGTTTACCAGTCTTACAGTCTTACCCACTTATGCTGATAAATTGAGAATTATTTTAATGTTGTCAAAATAAGCTGTTTATTGATGAAAGCAGACAGTACATTTATTCAGCCATTGCAATATTGTGTAATTTTAAATTACTTACATATAAGAAATATTAAACATTTAAATGTTACTCTGTTGTAATGACAGGTTAATAATGAAACTAAAATTCCTTTTAATGAAATGTCAAGAAATTAAAAGTGCAGTTAGCCAGTTAAAAATCAGATCACGGACACAAAACCTGTGAATTTTAAGTTTTTACATGCTTATTTGTATTTATTTGTATTAGTACTTTTAAAAATGATCATTTAAAGGCTTTTTTTAAAATTGTGATACTTTTTTTCTGGAGTAGCATTTACAAATTAATCAGGCATGCAGTTACGCATTTGATTAGAAACAAACATGTGAAAACCAATATAAATGCTCAATGTCTCTCTTCACGTTTACACACCAAATATTGGTGTCATTAGTCTCATCATCTTTTTCAGGTTCCTTGGCTTCTTGTTGGCTGTTGTCTTGTTTCATCTTTACAGAAGTGATATATATTTTCATCTTCCAGTGCTGCATGTCCAGGGTAACATGGTGATCTCAAGACATGAAAGTGGGGCACAACAGATCAAATGAGAGATCCAACCTCCCTGACAACTGTAGTAGTCCCTAGGCCATGCATCGCTATATTTATCGGGAGGTGTTGCCCAAAGCAAAAGTAACATATACTTGATACTCTTGTTGCTCATCCTTAGCTCCCATCTTAGCTCTTAAGGCTGTCAAACGCTGTAGACTGAAAGTCCTCTCATTTCTATCCAACACTAGGAGTTGTTTGCTATCCCTGAGTGACACCAGCTTTTTCTCTAATCTGTAAATAGCAGAGCTGAGTAGCTGAGTGGGGTGTATCTAAAGCACACTGTATGTGGTCAGGCCCAGAATTAACTTCCATGTCCAGTTCCCCACCTAATTAAAGCCTTACATCTCAGAAGAAACTAATTTTGAATTGAATTGTTGAACCAATAGCTAAATTCTTTAAAAAAATCAAATTGTATAAAACCCTATGTAGGATTTCTGTCAATCCTTCTAATTCACCTTGCTAAAGCAATGATTGTCACCATTTATGAGTTAATAGTTTTTGATAATGTGTGTAAGATTTTGTATAACCTCTTGACTCATTGCCTGACTTGATAACATGGAAGTTGGAGGATGTGGTTTAAGATGAATTTCTCATGTACCAGTCACTTCAAAGCGAGCAGGACTATCAATAGCACTGACCATAACTTTTTGATGAAATACAGTAATTTGTGGTGGATCTTTAAGATTAATACCACAAAAGTATCAGATAACAGGCTTTGTCACTAATCTCTAAATGGCAAATAGACTACGCTTTTTAAACATCATAATTTATTGAGCTATAAAGTGTTGGGAGAACAACATGGGGTACATGCTTATTTGGAGAACCAGCACAGATATAATGGGATGGATGGTCTCCTTGATGCTGTAATAATTCTGTGACTAAGGCATTCAATGTTGATGCTGACACTCTCATATGTTGCTGACTGGCAAATCTTTGGTTTCACCAATAAATATATTGTGTTTGATCAAATTGTGATGGTGGGTTTTGGCCATTGTGTTCAATGAATCACTTTGCAAATGCCCATCACCTTCACATTTCCTTTTCTTTATCTGCACAATGTATGCCTCTACTTTATTTTCAATCTTTTTGCATTTAACAGATCTCCACCAGCTATATCGGCTGTTATGCTTCATGGTGAACATTATTTTCTGGATTATCCACTCTACTCTCCATTGCTCTGATTGTATGATATTTATCCTTGGGCATTCTCAAGTCAAATTTACAGTGAATTCCCATCACTGTATTCATTATAAGTAAACTATGATTGGCACTTGGAATACTGTTAATTTACAGGCTTAATAAACATGTGTCACATTCACTCATATGTCACGAATGAAGATAAGGGCCTATCGACATAAATGGTAATAAAAGAAGGCCTTTAGTACTGTTAAGGACTTAAACATTTTGTTGAATGAGGTGCAACTGAATTTATGCTGACAATGACATACGTCGTAAGTATTTGTTACATGAGTGCCTAGAAAGGGCCAGAACTACATTTCTTCGTTTACATACAAGGAATGTCAACGTAACTGAGTTTGACATATATGGGTAGGACTGTGATATATATTCTCGATAATTCCATACCCTACATGAGAATGTGCTTACAAGTAGTGCAGAAATAGTGCAATACTGCACCATCTAACTGAAGTTTATAAGATCTTTTTGGCAATCATTTGAAAATTTATGGAAGATTCTAATAATTGCACATATGACGACCGCACGGCTGGGATTTTTAATGTATGTCATCCATTGGCTGCCTACGTACTCCAACCAATTTTCCTTTCTGTTTGTTACAATCATACTGAAATATTGAACTGGTGTGAAGTGATTCATATCAAAGTTATATTTGTGATATGAATTCAAAGTCAGATCCAATCTGACTTTAGAAAGAAGTGGAGAGATACTCCATGGAGATGCACACCACTAGGGTTTGACACTGAATGGAGTGTAAGTTCAGCATCGTGTCAAACCTGATTTACAAAATGTTCAAAGGTTTGGACCCCAGGCACCTTTTAAACCTACCTGACCTTAATTTAAATGTTTAGAGTGTAGGTATTCTTTCCTCCCCAGCCTTCAAATATTTACATTTATCAACCATTGGGAGAGAGGTCTGTCCATGTGCGTATGTAAGCATGTGCATTGCTGTCTCCTGAGCAGTATGATTAGAGTTCCAGCCAGACAGGAGCCAAACAATGTAAACACAGTGCTTCCTGGCTGAAACCTGAACTGCAGCTATTGGCCTCAGATCAGTAGCTGCAGTGTAAATGCATCCTTAGAGAGTACCTTGGTCTCAATTCATACCACTGATACTGCCCCTTTGAGGGCAACACATAAATGGTATTATGATGCCATTTACTGTAGAGATTTTTCTTTACTTGCAAATGCTTTATTTCACTGTGCAAGGGCACTAAATAATTCCACCATCAGTTTGTACTGATTTTATTTTTATGCTGATCCATGACTTGTTAAGAACATACTTAATTTTAAATATCCTACACAATGTGATGATCTGGTGTGTCAGACATGTACTTTAAATGAAATAGCATTTATTAGGCTTAAAAAAATTACGTTCTGATGCTGGTAATTTGTTTTCTTTTCCCTACCATAATATCTGAGTAATCCACATTAATCTACATCAGTTTACAAGTCTGAATTTGTGATCAATACATGGCAATTCATTCAAACATTTAATTTTCACATCTCCATCAGAAGTGGTTCTCAGTTGTGTTTATATCAATAATATAAAAAGTGAATAATAGTTTACGATTTCAAAATCAATATTACTTTCAAGATCAGAATAATTCTATCATACATTAGCATTCGTGATACATATTCTTTCATACATTATTAGCTAACTTTCATTGTGAAAATTCCACTTTAATGTCTGCAAAAACTGTACAAATGAAAAAAGAAAACCATTGCACACAGTCAAAAGAGGGCTCAGTCATCAATAATCATTTGAAATTCAGTTAACCCCTTAAGTCATAATTAAACTTGTACCCACATCAAATATTCCATTGTATACCGTTAGATTGCTGATATAAAATTGGTAGGATTTTGTAGTTGCTTCCAGATAGCAATGAAATTTTATAATCCATTGATACAAAATGTTACGTCAGCACATACATTAATTGCCCAGTGGTTATAAATGCACCATAATAATGCTACTCAGGCATCTTCCATAATAAATGTGAATACTGGAAGTTAGATGGAAAAAGTTCACAGAAAGTAAACTTTAAATAGAGTACTTGAGATAGTTTTAGATCATTGAAAATATTAAATCAAATAAAAACAGCAAAAGAATGTAAAATTTAATGTGGCTATCTGCACTGATCCAGTGATTCCTCATCCTTACTCCCACTTCATTTAAAGACTACATCAGGACCTGATTCCTAGGGTAGAATCTTATGAGGGTCTAGGAGATATAACCTGGGGTGAGTTGTGCAGCAGAATCAGGCACCAAGTTTGGTGAGGCCCATCTCAAAGTCAAGATCATATTGCTTCATTTTGTATGCATTTCATTTGTGTGTGGTAAGACTCTCACAGCAAGTTGCCTATCGATGGTCATTATTGATTATAAAATGTCTTGCTAA